GCGCACGCCCGCTCGCCCCGCCCGCGCGCCGCGCCTGCCACTCACGTGCCAGGCCCCGCCCCCACCCCCTCCTCACCTGGGCCCGCCCCCCGCGGAGAGCTTTATTGGTCCGATAGAGGGGCGGGGCCAGCAGGTGAGGGGCGGGGTCTGGGCCCCGCCTCCGAGTCCCCACCCCGAGGTTTGGCCCACCGGACCGGGCCGGGAGCCCAGTGACCCCTGCTCCACCTGCGCTCAGGTCGTGACCCAGGGGCTCAACCGCAGCGGTAATAATCAGAACAGCAGTTTGCAAACCACTTTTCCCTGCTTGGCTCATCGTAGCGGTTTAAAAACGAGTACCCTGGATTCAGCCTGTCCGGGTTCATATCCCACTCGGTCACCTATAAAACCTTGGGCAGATTTAAAGGAAAAATAGCTCTCTTACTTCAATTTCCTTATCTGTTAAATGGGGGCGTTATATCAACTACTCCCAAAGCGGTTGTACTAAATGAGGCAATGCATGGAAACTTTTACACACGTAGAGTAGGAACTTCGAAAATGTTGAGTTCCTTTCACCATCCCAATTCTTGCAGCCAAGGAGGCAGCCTACTGAGCCCTGGTTCTGAATCCTATTACACATCCTTTGTCAACGGGGGCAAGCTTCCTGCTCTGTCTGAGCCTCAGTCATCTGCAAAATGGGAATAAAAGGCCTTCCCAGGATTAGATGAGATAGAAGCAAGTGAAGCTCCACAGAGAAAGTCCAGAAGTGGATGGGGCAATGATGCTTCCTTACAGACTGGGACACTGGGACTCTGAGCTTGCCTAAACCTCAGCCCCGGCTTGGCGGACCCTTTGCCCACCCCCGCCCCAGGTCTTCCCTTGGCTGCGCTCGGGGTCTGTCTTGGGCCTCCCTCCTCCCCCGCACTCCCCCAGGCAGAGGAGGTTTTCCTTCGGTTCCCGCCTAAAGCGCCGCGGTGACGCCCCGCGGGGCAGGTCCGGGCGGCGCGCCGGGCGCCTTCAAGTCCCTAGTCCCGAGCTTGCAAGTGCGGGCCTGCGCCCCGCGCGGCGGCGGAAGCGTCTACCCTCGTGTGCCGACTCGTCGCGCCCAGAACTGGGCTGGGGCGGTCCTGTCCCCGCGGGCTCCGGGGCCCGCCTTAGGTACACTGGCCCCTGCGCCCCCTCTCGCCACCGCGGAACTGCCCCCTCGCGCACTCCTAGGGTCCGCCTCCCCCAAACCCCCAGCCCCAGCTGCTCCCAGGGCTAGGCCCTAAAACAGCAGCTACCTCCCACCAGGCCTCTCAATCTCCGTCGGTCTCCACCCACACGACTCAGCGCCACGGCAAGAACCATCGTGTTCAGTCATTGTTTGCGCTGTGTCATTCCCGAGTTCAATAATCCTCTGGGCTCCTTACTGGAGTAGGGGGACACCCCCGCCCAGCCAGCCCGGTCCGTGGGGACACACTCTCCACATCCCACACGGTGCCTCCCACTTTTGCTCACCCTCTCTCTTCGGCACCATTTTGAGCCTTTCCCTACCTCCAAAACCATCTCCTCCTGGCATGACCTGGGAACTCTTCACCTCTAATTTAAGCTCCTTCAAGGAGAATGAAATGAGCAGATGCAGGTGAAACCATCAGCACAAAGTAAGCACTCAACAAGGTGACCCTTCCTCCATCCAACAAATATTCAGTGAGGAACATGCCAGGAGCTGAGAGGACACAGCCACCAACAAGATAAGCCAGTCTCTTCCTCCTACAACTTACATTCTAATGGGGCTAGTCAATCAACATGAAAAAAATGTGAATTTCAGAAAGCAAAAAGTACTGCAAAAACAAGAAAATGATGTTGTTAACAGAGAATGATCTGAGGACTGTTTTAAATAGGATGCTGGGGAAAGGTTTTAGCAAAGCAGGCCACAGCTCTCTATAGCTGACAAGGTTCTTTTGCATCTCATCCGGGTGTCAGAGGAGGAAATAGGAAGGGGCAGACAGGAGGTTAAAAATAAGGTTTATTTGGACAAGTCTGGGGATCCATGCCTCTTGAAAGTAGCTTTGGCCTGTCCTGCCCCACTGGAGGAGGGCACCCCCGCTGGGTGGTTACCAGCTCCCTTCCTTCATTTAGCTCTCTCTGCCTGTGTACAACCAGGACAGGATATGTAATTTGCAGGGCCCAGTGAGAAATGAAAATGTGGACCCCTTGTTCAAAATTGTTAAGAATTTCAAGATGGTGACAACAGAGCGTTAAACCAAGCATGGGGCCCTTCTAAGCGCGGAGACCTGTGCCACTACACAGATTGCACGCACGTGAAACTGGTTTGTACAACAGAACTCAGAAATAGTATGCAAGCCCCTGCCCCCATTGGCTGCTATGAGAAACATCCCTCTAGTCTTCCCCAGGCCTCCCTCCCCTCTTTTCCAGCTTCAAGTCCAGCACAGGTGATGGAAACAGTGCATAGAGGCTAAAAATACAGCCGAGCAGGTCTAGGTCAGGGCACTTAATGGCTCAAGGTCTTTTTCTCAGTTATGTGGTCCTGGCTCCTGGCAAGGAGCAGCCTGAGATATTCATTTCAATGCTTCACATGCCTTGGTCATTTAGCAGGTGTGAGTGGAAAGAGTAAGGACATTGACCGCAGCCCCTGGGCCTCCAAGAAGGTGTCTGTCTGTCTGTTAACCTGCTTGTGCTCTGCAGTCAGGCCGTTTGACTCCTCCAAAGGCAGCGAGATTTGCCAAGAAGCTGCGAGATCTCAGCTGGTGGAGTTTGAGTCATCTTAGTATCTTTGAAACTCTAGTTGGGATGATTTCTGCTCAAAGGGCAGTTACGTTGGGGAGAGAGCACTGGAAGAGGACCCTGATTATAATAACAACAATAGCAAACATTTATTGAAGACTTTACTAAGCTCTAGGCAGTGTGCACTGTTAGCCTTCACAATTCACATAATGCTCCCAGTAGCCCTGGGAGAGAGGTACCCTTACCACTTCCCTCCTCCAGAGAGGTTAAGTGACTTGCCCAAAAGTTACAAAGTGGTGGAGCTGGGCTTTGAACTCAGGCAATGGGACTCCAGGCCTACACTCTTAACCACCATGGTGAATTGCCTCCTTGTCCTCACGGGGTTCTGGCAACAAATGCTTACTGAGTGTCCAGGGCTGGGACCAGGAAGAGGCTAGTGAGGCACTGACTTCAGGCACAAAATTTAAGGGGTCTACAAAACTCAGTAATCAAGATAAATAAATATTCTTTAATAAATTTAAAAATATATTAAAGGGGCCGGCCCCGTGGCGTCGCGGTTAAGTGCGGGCGCTCCGCTGCTGGCGGCCCGGGTTCAGATCCCGGGTGCGCACCGATGCACCGCTTGTCAGGCCATGCTGTGGCGGCATCCCATATAAAGTGGAGGAAGATGGGTACAGATGTTAGCCCAGGGCCAGTCTTCCTCAGCAAAAAGAGGAGGATTGGTGTGGATGTTAGCTCAGGGCTGATCTTCCTCACACAAAATATATATATATAAAATATATTTAATAAATAGTAGTTCAATGCAATGTTTTAAAAAATCTAAATGAATGCCAGAAAAATCCATGATGAACAAAATATCAAAATTTTAAATAAAAATAAGATCTCTAATCCTGATTTTCCTTTAGCCTCAGGCTCGGCTCAGCACGGTACCGTTTCTGATCCTGTCTCCCAGGTTTCTAGGTCAGGCAACTAGTGATGGAAAATTCGCGAGAAGTAGTAGTTTACTTGTTCTGATGGGAGTGAAGGGAGAGAAAGAATTTGGTCTGGAATATCATGAGTTAGAGGTGTCTGTGGGACATCTAGGTGGCCACATCTGAGAACTCAGAGTCAGGTGAGAAGGATCGCAGGGTAGGCAGGGCACCCTTATTTCACATACTTGGCCCATGATAGGTGTGTCTTCCACACATGTGGTCTAAATCACTGGTCCTCAGAGTTTGCATCATGGTTCAGGAATCTTTTCAAATTCTCTCATCCAAAGTTTTTCTCTTCTTTCCTAAATCTTCTACATCAAAAACCTCAAATATATTCCCATATGGGTGTGGAAGTTTACTGCTTGGGTGTTAAAATAAAAACATTTTCTGAGGAAATTAAAAACAACTAAATTCCACTAGAATTTGGGGGGTGGAGCATAAAGGGGGAAAATGAGAATTAATATAAATTGGCTCAATTTCCTCTTTATTAGCTGATCCTCCAGAAAGAGAATAGGAGCTAAAAGAAATTAGAGAAGAAAGGTAGTAGAAAGGAAAAAAGAAAGAAGGAAGATTATAGGAGCTAAAAATACAGTGAGGAGAGCTTGGCTAAGCATCAAAGGAGGGCAGATGTGTTTCCAAATAGAAGTGGTGGTTTGGATATGTCAGGAAGCACAGCTCCAAATGATGGGTGGAAAAATAAAGGTTATTTAGACTGAGCTCAGCAGAATAAAAAGATTCATTGGAGAATCAAACTGAGGAACAGGCCTTTCAGCAACATGGAAGTCCTACTGCCTCAACCCCAAGTTCTCTGGATCAAGTGTTGGCACCAACGATGGAATCTCTTGCCATGGTTTCAGGACTGTGGACCAAATAGAGTCTTTCCATCCTGACTTTATAATACTGAACAACCTTCAATGGAAGGTTGTTTAACAATCTCTGTTAAAGACTAGTCACTCTCCTTAGCATATCCTCAGATACCCACTTCCTTTTCTGTCTAACAAAGTGTGGGATATTCTGGACATCTCCCACAACCAGGGGGAAATGTAGCTCCTGTAAATACAGCACTTCTGTGAGGTTGATGAATCTGACAAATATTTAGTGAAGATGCATCATGGGAAAAGAGATGTCATGCTACCCAAGTCAGATCAAAATCATTCCCCACTTCAAGAGACTCTTGCTTGCCTCATAAATCAGATGGATGCACATGAAAAACCTGAGATGAAGTTCATATCAAGTGTTGGGTTATGTCACTCAGACCATGAGCAACAGGGGCTCCAGAAAGGGTCAGATGGGCAAATGTGCCACAATATTAATAACTTTAATAAGAACATTATTTATTGAATGCTTACTCTGTGCCAGGAACCGCACCAAGTGCTTCATATATAGTCCCATGTCATCCTCACAGTAATCCTGGGTTAGGCACTATTACTATCCCCATTCCACAGATGAGGAAATAAGGTTCAGAGATGTGAATTCACTTGCTCATTGAGAGAAGGATCTGAGATGTCAGCTCAGGCAGACCAAATCCTGAGCCCAGAGACAGCCTCATGACAATGATAGGACATGAACTGGGCCCAGGGGTGATATGTGGATGGGCTGACCAGATGAGAGGCAAAGCATCAAGTGATATGAGTGGTTAAGAGCAAGGGTGGTGTAGACCTTGGTTGAATCCAGCCTTAGTTGGTTAGTAGCTCTGGGTCCTGGGGCATGGTTCTTGAGCAACTTCTGGGTCAGTTTCTTCATCTGTAAAGTAGGGATGGTGACAGGACCCAAACTCATAAGACTGTTGGTGGCCTTTCATGCGATGATGCTTGTGAAGTGCCTAGAACAGTGCCTGACCTACAGTAAGTATTCAATAAATACAGATTTTACTGACATAGGAGAAATAGCACAGGCCAGATTACCCTGGGTTAGTTCTAAGAAAAGTAAGGGTTTCCTGTTGAGGCACAGTCAATTGAAGTGAGTTACACTGAAGGGACAGAAGGCAGAATCTGATTGAATTTGAAGAGTATGCCGTCCACGTGAACAGCTCTGTGCTAGAAGGAGATTCAGAGTGCTCCTCAGAGCCAGAGCAGTGTCACTTGGTCATTGAGTAAAAGGCCTAGGAAAGTAAATACAACAGATGAGTGCCTGGAAAGAGAAGGTACGGGAAAGCCAAGGTCGGGAAGGAGAGAAGAGACACAGAAGAGCTACTTCTAGGATGCCTTTCTTGCCTATCAGTTCCCTTCCGTCGCTTTATGCAGAGTAAAGACAGGCAGTAGCCCAACAGCCTGGTGCCACCTCTCCACGACTCACCGGCTTTGAAAGGATGCTTGCCTGCCCAGTCAACAGACATCTGCAAACCTTTCCCAAACCCTTTCCAACGCCCTGCTCTAAAACTGACCCACCTCTCGGGAGGTGAGGCCAGGGCTCGCCACTGAATGGGCCCTATTGTCCTCCCAAGCGTCTGTGGGTCCAGATGCTGTCGGCCTGGAGGTGGTTCCACCGCGGCCTGCGGTGCAGTCTGCCTGCAGACTTTGATTCACTCCAGGGACAACACTTGAAAAATCAGACAGGCAACACATGCGATTCCAGGAACGCTTGCCAGAATCATACTCTGTTTTTCCATCATTTCACTCTCCTCCCCCTTGGGAGGGAGCCTCCTTTGGCATTTTGCATATGAAAAATGAAAACCACCAACAGGACAAGCACCTGATAAGGAGCTAGGCATTGCCCAAGAGTTCCCAGGAAGAGGCCTCTTTGTTCTCGTTTCAAGCCCTTGACACTGCTAACAGCTCTAATTACTGCATTTGCCATGGGATGTAAAATAAAACCACATTCCAGAAACCATGTAGTCTCCCGGGGAGAGACACGCAGGGAGAGGTGCCCAGGGCTGCAGGAACGTGTGGTTTCATTTCTGGTCCCTAACCTTGGCAGCCATTCTGAGAATTGAACAGTACCTTCTTTATGTGCGTGGAGAAGGGCACTTTTGCACATGTAAGGATGCATCTCACTACCTGTATCCACAAATCTGGTCTGCATATTTGACTATGTTATGTGCGAAGCATGCTTCTTAAGAACCTTAGGACCTTCAAAATTCACCCAAGCTAGGGGCCGGCCCGGTGGCGCAAGCAGTTAAGTGCGTGTACTCCGCTGCGGCAGCCTGGGGATCGCCAGTTCGGATCCTGGGTGCGCACCGAAGCACTGCTTGGCAAACCATGCTGTGGCGGCATCCCATATAAAGTGGAGGAAGATGGGCACGGGTGTTAGCCCAGGGCCAGTCTTC